CCGTTCCATTTGAACTGCATGTAAATCTGCTCTTCTATTATCGGCAGCTCGAAATCAGCTACAATTTGTAGTGCGTGTGTTTCATTTCAAGAAAACCCTACTAGATTGCTTCTTCTCAGTGGTAAAAATATAGTCAAATTGAAGCTGAAAGCATAAAGAATCGTTTGCATGCATTCAGCGAAGTGTTTTCGTAAGAAAATCCAGTGACAATAGTGTTTCAATTTGTGTTGCCGAAAATAGTCTGTCATGCCGAAGCCGTCATTTCCCCTATGTATGAACAGAGAGAGAGATCTTACGAATGGAATACACAGTGACGTATGAACCAGCTAAGAGACGCAACGGTATGAAGGAAAACTATATACTTTACAACAACAAAACAACCAATTCAAACTATATTCACGTATTTGATAATTACATTCGTGTTGAGTTGGACAAACCCGATGACAACGGAAAAACTAAATTCATGGCCATGAAAACAAGAATACGGACATACCTGCGCAGGATTTAGGTTCCGTGAGATGTGATGCGATGCGATGCGATGCAACGACGACGGATGAAGCGGTGATGGCGACGGATGGAGCGATAATGGCGGCCGGAGACCTTACCAAGGTCCTAGCGATGGCGACTGTCGACCTTCCGATGACCTGTGATGATGGCGGCGGTCTCGGAATGGCACCGATCTAGCTGCGGAAATGGCGTGCAGCGACGAAAAGTGACCCGTGTGCGGTATGGCCGAAATTAGAGGTGCGGAGGTAGTGGTGACTGGACGGAAGGCTTCCAATTTGTTTTCTAGAGAGCTGAGCATCGACGGAGTCGAGCTTTTCCCGGGAGATTCGCTCCGCGGAAGAGAGAGACCAACGTACCGTCGCACGGCTTCGAGTACTATGTTTCTGCTTTGACCGCCCGAGATGGAATGAAATCTTCTCCTCTTTGGTTGAAATCCGAACCGAGGTACGAGATTGGCTTCGTACTCCTACGGTCCGAGCTCTCGAATGTCACGGTCCCCCGGGTTGTAACGGGATGGGGACCTTACCGACGGCTTTTGGCGACCGTCGGGAAACAATTCGCTAAGCAAAAATTTAGCGTCTTCACTCTCCTCCGTGTGGCTTTGATGACGCCGCGATGATGACTGCCGAACTCGTCAAAAATCCAGCCCGTACAAAAAAGCCCGTTGAACGAGCTGTCCAACGCGAAAAACACGTAATTACAAAAATGCTAATGTTTAAAAGTTTTACAAATTACCTTTTTGTACGATAAAACACTAAAAACGCAGATGTCTGCAAAGCAACTACTTTGAACAGTACAATTAACCTAAACGTACAAAAAAACACACGTTAAATCACTGAGCTGGCTCAATTAACTCCTTTTAAACTAATCACCTTAGAGTACGTAGATTACTTTCACAGAGTCCACTTTACGAACTTAAAAACCACGTCACACACATCTGCTTTCCAGCAGATTCGTTAGCGAAACGGACGAGATTAGAAGTTTTGTTCCCAAATAAACCACAGGTTTTCTTCAAGATAAAAGGATCGGATATGGCGCGAAAACATATGTCGATTAGCCATCTTATTTATGAGTTCATTTGAATCCTATCTCTTTCGCGTATTTAGCAATTCTCCTCTTTAGCCATCTTATTTATTGTTCCATAAAAAACGCTAGCTTGCTATAAAACCTTACAAATGTATATACAAAGCTAAATGTAAAACATAGCTTAGACACAAACCAGCTTCTTCACACAAGATTACAACCTATATGACAACACATGTTACCTAATATTTACAACTTATACAACTCATCCCTAATATTTACAAATTCCATTCTTTTCCACAATCTTTACCGCCAACTCAATTGAAAACAAACGCACAGCGTTAGAAGTTCACTATGAGAGAATTACAAGTAAGCTTTATGAGAAAATCGGGAAATAGCAATATATTCAAAAAGAAATTGATTTTCAGAAAAAAATGCTGAGAAACTGATCCGTAAGTTGTGCCCGCAAGCCGCTCAGTCCATTTCGAGATGTTCAATATGTTACATCCCTGGTTACTTCTCGGAATGAAAATAGCACCTGGAGATGATAGCTGCAGTGGTCTTCGGAATCGCTTAATAAGCAGAATTATTATCAATTTGTTGATTAGAGTTTATAATTCTGTTGTGATAAAATAAATCGTTTTTATTATGCTTAAAAAAAATTTCGATCAAATAATTTCCTGTCAAAATATAATATTTACAAAACTGAGTAACCTTTACTCAGTTGTGCTAATATTGCGAAAACCGAAACTGAGTAATTGCTTCTCAGATTTTTACAAATTCATACATTACTCAAAAGTGAGTAAACATGGAGCTACTCACTTTAGAGTAGTTCCACTTTTAACGAGAGTGAGTGGAATTTTACTCACTTTAGAGTAAATTCGAACGAGCACGCAAATGTCGCAAAAAGACATTTCAATCGCCGTGGGAGTGTCCCGGTGGACCGTCAAAAGGGTTTTAGACCAAGAAAAGAAAGGACAACTATCCGCGAAGGTGGCCACAGTTCGTCCCAGGTCAGCTCGGGTTCCGAGGGTTATCGCTGCTATCAAAAGGAAGATTCGGGCGTTCAATAAGGAAATTGGCAAAGGAACACGGAATGAGTGACTTTACGGCACGGAAGATCGTAAAGGAAGATTGCGGGGTGAAGTTCAGGGCACGGAAAAAACTTACATGATTACCAACCACATCCGGGAGCTACTTGTCGAACGATGCAAGATAATCTTGAACTTCCTTAAGCGAAAACATCCGGTAGTCCTGTTCACCGACGAGAGCATGTTTACCGTCGATCCCGTATTAAATTCCAGAACCGACCGGTATATGAGTCCGGTAAAACACGTGGCCGACGAGCACAAGAACGTGTATCTGACCAAGCATCCTACTAGCGTTATGGTGTTTGGATTGGTGGCTTCCGAGGGCAAAAAATGGACCCGGTGTTCATTCCAGAAGGCGACAAGGTCAACACGGAGGTCTACATCGGGATTATAAGTAAGTATGCTCTTCCGTGGATCAAAGAACAGTACGGTCCACAGCCAAATGTTGTATTTGAACAAGATGGGGCTCCGTGCCACACCTCGAACCGCACTCAGAAGTGGTTGCAGCAACATCTCCCGTTCTGGGCGAAGGATATGTGGCCGCCATCCAGTCCCAATCTTAATCCGCTGGATTACTTAATATGGCGCGTCATGAAGGCCAAGGCCTGTTCTAAACGCCACCCGAGTACAGCAAGCCTCAGACAAACATTGACCCGTACCTGGAGAGAAATGGATCAAGACTACATTATTAGAACCTGCCGTGCATTCCGGAAGTGTGTGGAGGCCGTAATTGCAGCAAGTAAAAAAAATCGATCAATGATTATCATAGTTTAAGGCTCTGAGAAACATCCCCCTATGAATTAATAAAAAAAACACAAAAACGAAATATTTGATATTTTTTTTTAATTTTGATATTGCTCAATGGCTCCCGCATACGGTTATTAATTTTGGTATCCATGACAGATATGTATTTCGACTACAATGTGCAGTCTTCATCAGTGTCATTCCCATGAATGGGAATTTATCCATGAATGGGAATGACACTGATGAAGATTGCACATTTTAGTCGTAATACGTATCGGTCATGGATAACAAAATTAATTAAGTGGAATTAAATGGAAGATAACCTTTTTTGCTGTTTTATTTAAGCATTCTGCTAACAACCCCATTTCATTACTTTATTGAGAAATATTATTTTATTGAGGTCACCCTACCCAAGCAACATGTCAGTTGAATCAGGGCCTTCAAGAACGTACTTAAACCATAATTATTACTTGAGTACGCTGCTCATTAAATCTAGTATAAAATGTGCACTGTGGCGACGAGAACCTCCCCGCGATGAAGATGCCCTAACGTCGACGGCGCCGTACTCGGTACACTGGGACAGCGAGTGCCAACTGACACCGACAGACAGATTGATAAGAGTGATAGTGCCGTGATAACACCACGCGTGCATTCATTGAAAGCGCTATTAAAGTCTAGATAAACCTAGTTAATTAGTATATACAAATTAAAATTAGTATTTACAGTTACTACAAGTAAGTAAATCTTCAAATATAAAATGTGAAATTATATGCTAAAGCTTACATCTAACATGCAAAATTTACTATCCTAGTTTCGTAACCTAAAATTGAAAAACCACCTAAAGGGAAGAATCTCGTTGTTAAAGTGAAGATACTGAAAATTTGTAGGTAATATTATATATATTCTAAACATGTATACTTATAATAAAACACTTACAGCTAAAGCATATTCCAACAACAACAACCGTGTATTGGATCGCTTGAAAGAGTTTCAGTGGCTACAAACTTTAGAAATTTTCACGGTGAGATCCCCTACAGTGTGAGATGAGTCATCCGGGAGATAATAACACTGCTTCCGCCACACCGTCGGATTGCGTGGCTTGCGATCGTCCGGACAGCAGCGAGAACATGGTAGCCTGTGATACATGTGGGTCCTGGTACCACTTCAGCTGTGCAAAAGTCGACGGAAGTGTTTCCAACGTACCGTGGAAGTGTACATCATGTGGAATATCGAACCGGACGCCGATTGCGACGAAGCAAATCCGCAAGACTGACGGAAAGAAAGGTGGAAAGCGGCTCACGGTCCCAACCGGTGCAGAGCAGTCGTCGAAGACGTCCGTCAGCACCAAGGGCACCTCTCGGAAAAGTAAGCAGCCTGTTTCTGGAGATAACGTAAGTTCTGCATCTAGTGCCAGGGCTAGGCTCGCATTCGAGCTGAAGATGATTGAGGAACAGGGCCGAATCAAGGAACAGGAGTTGCAGGCAGAGCTAGAAATGAAAAATAAAAAGTTGATACTGGAGAGGAAGAACAGGGATCTCGAGTAAGCTTTAGAAGCCAAAAAGTTAGCTGAAGAGAAGGCTTTTCAGGAAAAGCAGTTAGAAGAAGAAGAAAAAAAGTCGTAAAGCGCTCCTAGAGATGAAACGGTTGTCACTCGAGGCGAAAAAGAGCATCGTTCGGCAATTTTCGCAACGCGGTAGCGAAGTTTCCAGCTTGAGTGAAAGTGATGTGCCAAATTCGGAGGAAAAAGTACGAGGTTGGTTGCAGAAATCCGGCGAGCAGACAGAGGGAAACTTAAAATCCACGTCAGCAGCAAGAGATACCCGCAAAGTTCCGGAGAATCCCGGAAAGGAAATGTTCAGCAATCTTCGTAATCCAGTTCCCGGCACATCAAGGACAGGCAACTACCGGTTCATTGAGGGACCGAACGAAGCAGATGAGGACGAGGATGAGGAGGATGGAGCCTGCAGTTTTCATTCACGAGAAATAAGGGGAAACACGGTTCGTGGTAGAGGCAATGGTGCTGCCCATCATCAAGATCTAGATGGCCCAACAAGTCGTCAGCTAGCAGTACGGCAAGTCATGGGGAAGGATTTACCAACGTTTTCCGGGAATCCAGAGGAGTGGCCGATCTGGATAAGCAACTTCCAGCGATCAACAGATACGTGCGGATTCTCTATGGATGAGAATATGATCCGACTTCAGCGCTGCCTCAAGGGACCGGCAATGGAGATGGTACGATGCAGACTACTATCCCCTTTAAGTGTTCCACACGTCATTAAGGCATTGCAGATGCGGTACGGTCGACCCGAAACTCTGATAAGAGCACTTACCGAAAAGATTCGACAACTTCCTCCTCCAAAGATGGATAATTTGGAGAGCATCGTCGACTTCGGTATGGCGGTGGATAGTTTGGTAGAACATTTGAAGAATGCGAAACAACAGGCGCACTTGGCAAACCCGTCATTGTTGCACGACCTGGTTGCGAAGCTTCCCGTGGATTACCGTTTGAAGTGGTCAGCATTTAAGAGTTCCAGTCCGTTAGTTAACCTCGGAACGTTCGGATCATTCATGTCGTCACTGGTGGAGTTGGCGTATGATGTGATGGATGACCAACCGACTGTGAAGATAACGAAAGGAGTTTATCAAAAGCCCAAAGACCGGAGTTTCATACACGCACATGCTGAAAATGTTTCGGCTGGGTCTACTTCCTCTTACAATGGTTCTACTACTCCAACCAGCCCAGTGAAGAAGGTCTGTGCTGCCTGCAAGAAGGAAGGGCACAAGGTGACGGATTGCTACAAGTTTAAGGCCATGAATATCGACGAGCGTCTCAAATTCGTCAGTCAGAACGTGCTCTGTAGGACCTGCCTAAATCAACACGGCAAATGGCCTTGCAAAACATGGAAAGGATGCGGAATAGAAGGTTGCCGTCTTCGTCATCACACGCTCCTGCATTCTGCCACACCAGCGGTCCCAGCGGTAGTGTCCACGAGTCATTTGAAACTCCAAAGTGGAGGGGGTCCAGTCTTCCGAATTTTACCGGTGACGCTGTATGGAAAACAAAGTCAGGTGAATGTGTTCGCGTTTGTGGATGAAGGCTCGCAAATTTCTCTGTTGGATGTTGCAGTGGCTGAACAGCTAGGAGTAACGGGTCCTACTGGGACACTTAATCTACAGTGGACGGGAAATATTACTCGTGAAGAGCCGAACTCGCGTATCATCCAGATGGAGATCTCCGGGAAGTATTCGGCTAAACACTTCAAGCTTGTGGACGCGCGTACGGTAGAAGGTCTCCGGCTGCCATCACAATCCTTGCGCTACCGGGATCTAGTGGAAATGTATCCGTATCTTCGAGGTTTGCCAATTACCGACTACGAAAATGTGACACCAAAACTTCTAATTGGTCTTGACAACTTGAAACTCACGATTCCACTCAAAGTTCGAGAAGGAGGTTGGGGTCAACCGATGGCAGCAAAATGCCGTCTAGGCTGGAGCATCTACGGCTGTTCACGTTTCGCGACGGAATCATTCAGCTGTGGGTTTCATGTTGGAGGATGGACCAATTCGGAAGGTGATTTGAACCAACTCGTCCGGGACTACATAACACTGGACAATTCTGGTGTGCGACCTCCGCTCACACCTATAGAATCCGAGGAACATAAACGGGCTCGACAGCTGCTCCAGGCCACGACTCGTAGAGTTGGAAAACGATTTGAGACCGGCCTGCTATGGAAGTGGGACAATGTTCAATTTCCGGATAGCTACGGGATGGCGCTTCGTCGGTTACGCTCTTTGGAGAAACGACTCACCAAGGAACCACAACTGTATGAATGTGTCCGTCAACAGATGCGGGAGTATCAGGAGAAGGGATACGCGCATCGGGCTACCGAGGAGGAACTCGCCAACACCAGCACAGGTAAGAGTTGGTACCTGCCCCTGGGAGTAGTCCTAAATCCTAAAAAGCCAAACAAGGTTCGGATTATTTGGGACGCCGCAGCAAAAGTTAACGGAGTATCGCTCAACTCAGCACTTCTGAAGGGTCCCGATTACCTCGCCTCGCTAGTTGAAGTTGTCTACCACTTCCGTCTCTACACTATCGCGCTGACGGGAGACATCAAAGAGATGTTTCATCGCTTGTTTATCCGGCAGGAGGACCGCCAATATTTGCGTTTTCTATGGCGGGATTCCGCAAAGTCAGAAGTAGAAATCTACGTTATGAACGTTGCAATATTCGGAGCAACGTGTTCCCCAAGCTCTGCGCAATTCGTCAAAAATGTGAACGCACAGGAGTTTCAGAGTGTATCTTCCCGGGCAGTGAAAGCGATTGTTCGATATCATTACGTTGATGATTATCTCGATAGTTTTCCGACGGCAGAAGAAGCAGTGCAGGTGGGAGTTGAAGTTCGGTGGATACATGCGGAAGGGGGATTCGAAATTCGGAACTTTCTTTCGAACGATCCAGTTGTTGCAGTGAAGGTTGGAGCAACATCCAGTGAAACCGTGAAAACGATCAAGCCGGAGAAAGTGGACAACGTGGAATCTGTTCTTGGTATGAAGTGGATCCCGACCGGAGACGAACTCACCTACAGCTTCGTAGTACGCGCCGACATGGAACATGTGCTAGAGATAAACCACACGCCAACAAAACGAGAAGTGCTACGCGTGGTGATGAGCTTGTTTGATCCACTAGGATTAATCAGTCATTTCGTGATTCACGGAAAAACTCTAATGCAAGACATCTGGGCATCGGGAGTAGACTGGGACGAACCCATCAGTAACGAACTATGCGAACTATGGCGGCGCTGGATAGCACTTCTGCCGAAGCTGAACTCCATTCGGATTCCTCGCTGCTATTTTACAGCAGCGGATTATCAGACGTATTCGTCACTTGAAGTCCACGTCTTCGTGGATGCCAGCAAGTCATGTTACGCCAGTGTTGTCTATTTCCGAGTAGAGACCGAGGAAGGCATGAAGGTGGCATTAGTAGCCGGAAAAACGAAGGTTGCTCCGTTAAAAATGATGTCCATCCCGCGATTGGAGCTTCAAGCTGCTGTATTGGGCACCCGATTGCTCAACAGTGTCGTTGCAATGCACAATCTTGCTGTCAGCCGTCGCGTATTGTGGACAGATTCCCAGACAGTGCTTGCTTGGTTGCGGTGCGATCACCGAAGATATCAACAGTTCGTGGGTTTCCGGGTAGCTGAGATTCTATCCACAACAGATCTACAGGAGTGGAGGAAGATAGAAACCGAGCGTAATGTGGCGGATCTCGCAACGAAATGGGGCAAAGGACCGATCTTCGACGAAAGTAATCCTTGGTTTCATGGACCGAAGTTCCTACTGGAACCAGAATGTCTGTGGCCGACGCAGGAGATGGTGCCGTGTACCACAAATGAAGAAATTCGCCATGTAGGCATGCACGTGATGCAGTCAACACTGCTCATCGAAACCGGAAGATTCAGCAGCTGGGAAAAACTACACCGCACCGCAGCGTGGGTTCATCGATTCGTAAACAACCTTAAAAGCAAGAAGCAAGGCGTTCAGCTGGAGTTAGGTGAACTGAAGCAGGAAGAACTAGCTGACGCAGAGATCACTCTGTACAAACAAGCGCAGCAAGAATATTACACCGATGAAATCATGCAACTCAGTGGAAAGGAAGAAGCGATACAGTTTCGTCATTCGGCGGTATCCAGATCCAGCAGAATTTTCAAGCTGTGGCTGTTCCTGGATCAATTCGGAGTGCTGCGGATGCGATGAAGGATAGGTGCAGCGCCACACGTGCCATATGCAGCGAAGTACCCCACAATTCTACCACAGCAGTCTTCCATCGCCTTTCTTTTGGTTGACATGTTCCACCGTCGTTTCCGTCACGCTAATAGAGAAACGGTCATTAATGAAATGAGGCAGGAGTTCCACATTCCGAAGATGCGTGCGCTGGTTGCGAAAGTAGCACGGGACTGCATGTTCTGCAGGGTACGCAAGGCTGTGCCACGACAACCTCCAATGGCTCCACTGCCGAAAGTTCGGTTGACACCGTTCGTGCGACCCTTTACTTACGTTGGTCTGGACTACTTCGGGCCAGTTCTGGTGAAGGTTGGGCGCAGCAATGCCAAACGCTGGATTGCGCTTTTTACGTGTCTGAGTATACGGGCAGTTCACATGGAAGTTGTCCACAGCCTGTCAACAGAGTCGTGCGTTCAAGCAGTTCGCCGTTTCGTCTCCCGCCGAGGATCGCCAGCAGAGTTCTTTTCTGATAATGGGACTAACTTCCATGGAGCCGATAATCAGCTGAAGAAGGAGATAGAGGAACGAAGTAGGAAACTTTCATCGGTGTTCACTAATTCCAAAACGCGTTGGTCCTTCAATCCACCAGGAACGCCCCATATGGGAGGGGTTCTGCCTACGGACTATCGAACGACGTTGAGAAGCAGCTGGAACTTGGCGAAGCATCTGGCCGATGAGTTCTGGAGAAGATGGATCAGGGAATACCTTCCGGTGATTTCACGGCAATGCAAATGGTTCGAGAATGTGAGGGACATGAAGGAGGGAGATTTGGTGCTGGTGGTTGACGGAAAAGTGCGAAGCCAGTGGACCAGAGGACGAGTGGAGAGAATCGTGCTGGGAGCGGATGGACTAGTACGGCAAGCGTTGGTTCGTACGAAAGGCGGAGTCGATCGCAGGTCGGTGGCTAATCTAGCGTTGCTCGACGTCGTGAAGGAAGGTGATCCTGACCAAGAAGATGGTAGCGGTTCACGGGTGGGGGAGTGTGGCGACGAGAACCTCCCCGCGATGAAGATGCCCTAACGTCGACGGCGCCGTACTCGGTACACTGGGACAGCGAGTGCCAACTGACACCGACAGACAGATGAACGTGTTGTTTATGATTGATAAGAGTGATAGTGCCGTGATAACACCACGCGTGCATTCATTGAAAGCGCTATTAAAGTCTAGATAAACCTAGTTAATTAGTATATACAAATTAAAATTAGTATTTACAGTTACTACAAGTAAGTAAATCTTCAAATATAAAATGTGAAATTATATGCTAAAGCTTACATCTAACACGCAAAATTTACTATCCTAGTTTCGTAACCTAAAATTGAAAAACCACCTAAAGGGAAGAATCTCGTTGTTAAAGTGAAGATACTGAAAATTTGTAGGTAATATTATATATATTCTAAACATGTATACTTATAATAAAACACTTACAGCTAAAGCATATTCCAACAACAACAACCGTGTATTGGATCGCTTGAAAGAGTTTCAGTGGCTACATGCACCGTTAGAGATTTTATTTCTGCAGCAAAGTTGCTTGAAATAATTTTTTTTTTTTACTTTTTCAATCATTATGAATGTATGAATAAGTATGAATAATGAGTGTAAACCCTCCCGTGCTTTTCTTATGGAGATAGTAAAGTAAACTTTTTTATTCATACTGCCCATTATGTTTCTTTGACATGAACATTCATGCCACATCAGCAACTTTTCAGCCACACATGCGGATAGATGTTCTAGAGACGTACAATGTGCAATCAGTCATCAGGCTCATTATGCATAATTGAGTTAATGCGGTTTATTTACATCATTTGCATAAATGTTGTCATTGATCGTTATCGATGCGGGTGATGAAGGGGGCGCTTCTCGTTCTACGATTAAGGTTATCATCTGTTAAAATGAAGAAATTGAGTTCGAGTTTAGCATGCTTGGAGTTGAAACTGTGTTCCCCCTTGACCGACTTTCTTCATCGAAATCTGCAAATGTTTATCTTTGAGCTCTTTTCCCCCAAGATCCCAGTAACTCGTTTATCCATCCAAGTAAATTAATTATCCATTTACCCAACGTGCCTGGCCAAACAAAAACAGCTTCTTACGCTTTGTTCCAACAAAGGCTGTTGTGTGTAGACGCCCACCTTGAGGACATTGTAGAACCAAGTTACGTGTTCCCCCCATACATACATTACAATCGCCAATTAACAATTCCAGCTTCGTCCCCTTAGCTTTGGGATCCGCATAAACTTTCACCGTCCGTTGCGTTGCTTGGCGAAAAGACAGACTTTTCCGATATTCTAGTCTTAGACGCTGAAATGTTCACCGTGTACCGACTAACACTTTCTTAGAATAACTCACGGCTTCGTCATCATGAAGGCAGACGGCGACAGAAACGACCAGGGAACAAGTTATGTTGAAAGTTTTATAACCGTGCTGCTCTTTGCTGTTTGGCAGTTTGGCGAAGCTTGAACGCTTGCTCCTAATGATGTACATCTTTACCGGGTTCTACACCTCGCAACCCCATCCATAGCATCCAACTTGCGTCTTTACCTAGTGGGCTTATGGCTTTAAGGTGCAAAGTTCTTGGTTTACTAGGAAAATGTAAGTTGCTATACCTACCTACTCGGTCACCCTCAGGCTTCCAGAGAATGGCAATTAGAGATAAGCTCGCTCCGAAGAGCAGATCTCCCAAGAAACGACACCCCCACTACAAGGAGGCGAAAAGGAGTGTGCGAGAGCAGAAAACAAAACTTTCCGTACAGTGTTTCAGTGGGTAGGTGTTGGTGAAACATTCGTAAATATCACCAAGCACCTGGACTTGATAAGCCGCAAATTGAGAATCGGATCCGGCAAAACTTTTAATTACCAATTCCGTGATGGAAACTAGTGGTAAGACACTAATTAAGTGTTGGTTTGGCGGTGGTATCATCAATAGCAATTGACCGTTGGCTGGTCATAGAATGGCGCAGAGGGAGAGAAAGAGAGGGATATTACTTTATTAATTGACAAAACCCCAAGGCTGCAAAATGCGTGTCGATGCATGTTAAGAGAGGTCGTTCTCGGCAATGCGACGATCAATCGTTAAGATTCCGCCACCATTCGGAAGGTATGGCTATATATTTTCCATTTCAAATAGAAAAGAAAAAACCCTTCTGGATCTGTTGTTGGCCTCCCGGAATGGAAAAATCCTAAAAAGTCCGGAGCAAAATGGGTGACCATTCATGTTGAAATGACTGGTTCTCGGCAATTTGGATACTAAATTTTAAGATTGAGCCACTATTTGAAAGGTATGACTATCTACTATCAAAAGAATTAAACAGAAAATCGATTGGACCTGGGATTTGCCAGTTGGAACTCGTTCTATGGAAATTCAGATTGACCGGGAAAATGGTCAATTCCTAAAAGTAGGCCTAGAGATCTCGGATGCATCGTTGCCAGATTGTTTTAAATCTTATCGGTATCATAGGTATAAAAAAATCGGTATTTATCGATATTTACTATTAATTTAATTTTTTATTTTTGCCGTTTTTAAAAAATAACATTTTAACGATGGTGACGACTGGGATGTAAGGGGAATTGCTTTGTTTGACGGTTTTTTTTCAGTCTTAAAATATCATTAAATGAAACCAAAATAAGGAAAATCAGCCACAACAACGACTAAACTCTAGCCGGCGCCGGTGGTGTAGTGGTAAGCGTGACTGCTTTCTAACAACCCAATGGGTCTGGGTTCAATCCCAGCCGAGGTCGGTGGGATTTTTCTGAGGCATAAAAATCTCTGGTCACGTCTTCTTTCGGAAGGGAAGTAAAGCCGTTGGTCCCGGCCCATGTGTATGTTGTGAATGGGTGTGATATCCTACGCAGGTGTGGAAGCTGCCTTCCTGCACATTTGGTTGCCATCAATGGATGGCAATCGATGTCCGTCGGTGATTGGCACTAGATTGCGGAACAGAGACTGAAGTTAAATAAAGGAAAAAAAACAACTAAACTATTGACAATAACGACAAACAATATTTTCCCTTGAAAAAAAGTCACAATCATTACATCGTAGTCGTTGCAGTGAGAAAGCCGTTAATCAAAGCAAAATTGTAGCTATAATCTATGTAACTATAATTGGAAAATTCAGGAAGAAAACTCCGGGAAATGTTTGAATAAGCTTCTGAATGGAGCTGAAAACATATCCAGAGAAAGACGAAAGAAGCTCTCCTGGATGAAGTTCGGGAAACTTCCAAGACACGAATTGAGAAACTTGTGGCGAAAATTTAAATAAACTATCGGAAAAAAATCGGATTTCACATCCAAAGGAAGCCAGAAAAGATTCGGAAACCGGAAGTAAATTTCCAGAAGTAGCCATTTCCAGGGAAAGCCAGAAGAAGCTCGAAAAAACCTTCCACAAAAAGAAAAAAAAAATATAAAACCTTTGGCTTATGGTCAAACTTCCAGAAGGAATTTCTGGGAGAAATAATTGAACTTCCTTGAGAAGACGAAATAAACTTCCTGGAGACGCTGGCAGAAACTTCTGAAGAAAGTCGGACACCAGAGTCGAAAGAAAAAAGGACATAATTCCGGAAGTAAGAGATTCCTGGGGGATGTTCTAATGATCCAGAAAATTTTCCTGATATTCAAAAAAACATCGCTGAAGACAACGAATTTTACCTGAAGTTTTCGGAACATTCCTAAAATGCGCTTAGAAATATTCCATAATTCCTCGAAATTCCTTAAAATTTCTTGTAATTTTCCTGAAATTAAAGGCTGCTTAGGAGTTCTCTCGTCATCCTTAAAGCGCTCTGAACTTCTCTGATTATAATAAGACTACCGGAATATCTCTAATCATCTTAGAAGGCCTCTGTACTTTCTTGAAGATTACGAAATCTCTCAAGTACTCTTACAATTTTCTTGAATTTATTGTTACATCAGCATTGAAGTTTAAAAAGCATAGAACTTCCCATAAAATGTTCTCGCAATGATCTAATGTTCATGTAACTTCCCTTA